ATATACATCATAACATTCTTCTAGGTAGCACTAAACATCCCCAAGAGCTAATAACAGCAATAACAAACATTAGCCACGCACCATGTGACCATGGTGTTATTGCACATAAAATGCGTTCAAAAGGAATTACCGGGAAAATAGGCAGATGGATCTACAATTTCCTGACTGACAGAACCCAATGTGTAATAGTCAACAAAATAAAATCCAGCCCATCAACCGTGAAGAGCTCAGTCCCCCAGGGTACTGTGCTTGCTCCAGTACTTTTTCTCATCCTCATATCGGACATAGACCAGAACACAACCTATAGCACTGTATCATCCTTTGCAGATGACACTAGGATTTTCATGAGAGTTGGCAACATAGAGGACACGGCAAACCTCCAATCAGATGTAGATCAGGTCTTTCTATGGGCTACAGAAAATAATATGGTATTCAACGAGGATAAGTTTCAGCTCATGCGCTACGGAAAAATTGAAAATATAAAAACAGAAACCACGTACAAAACGCAGGCAAATCATAACATAGAACGAAAAGGCAATGTAAAGGACCTGGGTGTACTCATGTCGGAAGACCTTACCTTTAAAGAACACAATAAAGTAGCCGTCACAACTGCAAGAAAAATGACAGGTTGGATAACAAGAACTTTTCACACTAGAGATGCTATACCGATGATGATACTTTTCAAAACGCTTGTGCTCTCTAGAGTGGAGTACTGCTGCACAATGACAGCCCCTTTCAAAGCTGGAGAAATTGCTGACCTAGAGAGCGTGCAGAGATCCTTTACTGCTAGAATCCACTCAGTAAAACATCTAAATTACTGGGACCGACTAAAGAGCCTAAATCTGTACTCCCTTGAGCGCAGGCGGGAGAGATACATAATAATTTACACGTGGAAAATAATTGAGGGGCTGGTCCCAAACCTGCACACAGAAATAACACCACATGAGACCAGAAGACATGGCAGGATGTGCAGAATACCCCCGTTGAAAAGCAGAGGTGCAACAGGTACTCTGAGAGAGAACTCTATCAACATCAGAGGCCCGAGGCTGTTCAACACGCTTCCACTACACATAAGGGGCATAACTGGCAAACCCCTCACAGTGTTCAAGAGAGAACTGGATAAGCACCTCCAAAGAATACCTGATCAACCAGGCTGTGACTCATACGTCAGGCTGCGAGCAGCCGCGTCTAACAGCCTGGTTGATCAGTCCAGCAACCAGGAGGCCTGGTCGACGACCGGGCCGCGGGGACACTAAGCCCCGGAAGCACCTCAAGGTAGGTAGGTAGGTAGGTACGCAACATCAATGTGCGGTACTTAGAACATAAGAATACAGGTAACTGCAGAAGGCCTATTGGCCCATACGAGGCAGCTCCTGTTTTTAACCACCCAATCCCACTCATGTATATATTCGTTATGTTTAACGTTATGTCCGTTTAGCCTTATGTAATGCTAAACTTCACAATGCATCACATCACTAAACATATCTACTAATAATAGACATTATATATATATATATATATATATATATATATATATATATATATATATATATATATATATATATATATATATATATATATATATATATATATATATATATATATGCGGAAAAACCACAGAGAAATATGAAATGAGGTCCTCATTTCATATTTCTCTGTGGTTTTTCCGCATAAAATGATCAGTGTTTTGTGATCGTCAATTGCATATATATATATATATATATATATATATATATATATATATATATATAACAGTGTAACTGTTGAGCCAACAGTATACCCATTGATTGAATCAATAGACAGTATACCTGCTCAGTCAATAAACAGTATACCTGCTCAGTCAATAAACAGTATACCTGCTCAGTCAATAAACAGTATACCTGCTCAGTCAATAAACAGTATACCTGCTCAGTCAATAAATAGTATACGCGTTGACTGGGTCAATAAACTATACCCGTTTACGGAGTCAGAAAACAGTATAACCGCTGACTGAGTCAATACACAGTTTACCCGTTTACTGAGTCAATAAACAGTATACCCGTTGACTGAGTCAATAAACAGTCTACCCGTTGACTAAGTCATTAAACAGTATAATTGTTGACTGAGTCAGTAAACAGTATAACCGCTGACTTGAGTTAATAACCAGTCTACCCGTTGACTAAGTCAGTAAACAGTGTACCCGTTGACTGAGTCAGTATAACCGTTGCAGGGGGGGAGGCAGGAAACGCAAGGCTGGTCGTGTTCTTGGGGAAGTTGCACCTGGCCTCCCCCCTCACTCGGCCTTCATGCAAAATGGCAACTACACACCGCCGGTAACTGGACAATCCGTCGGTCCCTCGTCTAATACGTCCCATTCTTAACGGAGAAATTGAAATAAGTTTATTGAGGTAAAATACACACAAAGGGATGAGGTAGCTCAAGCTATTCTCACCCCGTTCAGTACATCGTGTTAATACATACATAGACACACATCACAAGCAATAAACGTATTACCAAACATTCTGAGACATAAACATATACATCTCCTTTAACGGAGTCGTTCAATCTATTACACATTGCGATTGATTGATGAAGATTAAGCCACCCAAGAGGTGGCACGGGCATGAATAGCCCGTAAGTGGTGGCCCTTTTGAGCCATTACCAGTATCAAGGAGATACTGATACTGGAGATCTGTGGAGGTGCGACTGCACCCTGCGTGACGGGAGATGTCTCCCGTGTACACATTGCGACGTATCAGTCCATAATATAGCACCAGTAATATTAACGTTTTCTATTTCGTCGCCCTGGATAGGTTAGGTTAGGTTGCTTGGGTTTGGGCTAGTGTGATTTGTTTGTTTTTCACTCTTCGCTAGAGTACATGGCTTTGTATATTAGCGTCATCAGTTATAATCAGAATAATAGTAATAAATAATAGGTAATCTGAATTGAGAAGTACAGTACTGTAATGGAAGTTGTTGGTCATTTTAAATTCCATGGGTGTGTGTGTGTGGTTGACATCGGAGGAGTTTGTACAGACGATGTTAAGTGACAAGAGGAAGGGCAGTAGTTAGTAACAATGACTGTTTTGGCTTGGAAGACCAGGAGGCATGGCAGGAAGTGCAAATTGGTCCTTTTGAAATGCAGAGATGCAATGGATGTGTTAAGAGAATTCTGTGAACATCAAAAGCCCAAGACTTTTCATCACTCTATTTATACATAAGGGACATAACTTCATAAATGGACTTGACTTCATAAATCATGGTTGTTCAACATCCTCCCAGCGAGCATGAGAAATATTGCCAGACAACCGTGGACATCTTAAAGAGAAAACTAGATCATTTTCTCCAAGGACTGCTGGACCAACCGGGCTTTGGTGGATATGTGGGCCTGCGGGCCGCTCCAAGCAACAGCCTGGTGGACCAAACTCTCACAAGTCAAGTCTGCCCTCGGGCCGGGCTTGGGGAGTAGAAGAACTCGCAGAACCCCATCAACCAGGTATCACGCAGGTAACTATCCGACTTCAAATAGTGTTCAAAAGAAGAGAACTTGATAAACACCTCCTTGGGATATCCGATCAACTGAACTGTGTTCAGTGTCAGACAGCGAGCAGCTGCGTCTAACAGTCTAGTAATCCAGATATCCAACCAGAAGACCTTATCAGACCGGGCTGCGGGGATACTAATTCCTGGAACCATCACAGAGTAGTCACAACAATGGTTGGTCATGAAACATCTCCCCCCCCCCCCTCAAAAACAAAAAATCCTGTGGTGAAAAGTGCCATTATGTAGTACCTACCATTATGCCGGGATTAAGACACTGCCATGGCATGTTCAAATCAACACATTGAACAGTGGGAAAATGTAACGTGAAAACGATGTGTGTGTGGTGCTTGGATTAAGGCATGAACATATTGGGGGGAAAGATGCAGACTAGCGTGCAGAATGTTGGAAAATCCTAAGAGTGAGGAGTGTGTCATGAGATAGTTGGGCCATGCTGAACAAATGGATGATAATAGCCTGGTGAATTTGAGGATAGGAGGAGGAAGAGGAGATGATGGTTAAAAGATGATAGGCAGAACTGATGGATGTGTGAGGAATCTTGGGGGTGGTGGAGGGTTTCAAAGTTGAGTATGGCCAGAATCTCAACCTGTTCTCACGCTTATTACCCTGCAAATTTGATGTTATCATCTATCGCATCAAAATAGCGGTGCTTTAATGAATTTAAAAATACATGTCATATTGACTATTGGACAAAGTCAAAGTTATGAATGCTTGATGAGTTTTCAAGGACCCCCCCCCCCTTTTAGTTTAACAGAAACCCCCTGTAATTTAAAGAAACCCCCCTTTGAAATTTAAAGACACCCCCCTTGTAATTTAAAAACACCCTCCTCGTACTTTAAAGAAACCCCCTTTGTACTTTAAAGAACCCCCCTTGTAATTTAAAGAATCCCCCTTTGTACTTTAATGACCCCCCCCCTTGTACTTTAAAGAAACCCCCTTGTACTGTAAAAATAAAACTTGTACTCTAAAGAAACCCCTCCTTGTACCTTAAAGACACCCTCTTGTAATTTAAAGACAACCCCCCTTGTAATTTAAAGACCCCCCCTTGTACTTTAAAGGAACCCCCCCCCCCCTTGTAATTTAAAGAAACCCTCCCTTGTACTTTAAAGAAACCCCCATTGTATTTAAAGAAACCCCCCTTGTACTTTAAAGACTAAGTTTTCTAATTGAAATATAAATGAGCCCCATGACATCGTGACACACTTACATTTTACAAGAGGTGTGAAATTGTTAACAAACACCATGTTCAATGAAATCATAAGAATGTGAACTATTTACGAGAAAATATTAATGCTGTGCCATGGGATTGAACCCGCATCCCTGAACGACCATATCATGGCATCATTTTTTTTCTCCTAAACATCATATATTTCGTTGGTGAATATATTCTGGTTTTGAAGATGACTTAGCTCTACCTTAGGTATATGTTCCCATCATAATATAGGATTTTTTCATTGCAGACGTGTTCGTGTGGTCACGGTCCGTACTGCGTGCATGTCCTGTTTGTGATGGTGCGAGTCCTGCAGGTGGCAGAGGCAGACCCTGTCCTCATGGCTGGTGCACTCAAGGACTTTGAGGTGAGTTAAATTGCCTATCTCTTATGGTAAGTGTTAGGGGTCACAGAAAGAATTAGGCGGGGGGGGGGGTACCCCATGCCCACAGAGAGGAGAAGCAAGAGGGAGTTGGGTAGTGAGATAGTACCTGGATGGGGTTCTTGAGTTCTTCTACTCCACAAGCCCGGCCTGGGGCCAGGCTTGACCTGTCAGAGATTGGTCCAACAGGCTGTTGCCTGGAGCAACCCACAGGCCCACATATCCACCACAGCCTGGTTAGTCCGGCGCTTCTTGAAGAAAACTATCTACTTTTCTCTTGAAGATGTCCACATTTGTTCTGGCAATAGTAGTTGTCTTTGCTCTGTTACTTTGGCCACAGAGAGAAGGAGGGGGAGGGAACTGGGTAGTTAGTTATCTTGGGAACTGGGTAGCGAGATGGTAGTTATCTTGCCTTCACCCTCTGAGGGGAGGTCTTCACAATTGGTAGATGGGTAAGTTTGTGCTTTAATCCTGCTATCCATCCCATGTCACATTTCAGATTATTTATCCACTTAAAACTGTCCTTGCATCCACAAGGTTAGTGCTTACTTTGCTTGTAGCTCCAGGAAATCTTTGGATCATGAAAGTTATTTTTACACATGCCTGTATTAATTGAAAGGATCCTGGAACTCTCTTTTTTTAAGTTATTTCCTGTGATATCTTAATATGATTTTCCCATGAGCCAGTTCAATTATTCAGTTTAGTATTTATATAATAAATACTGTATGTATCTGGTACATCTTCTGACCCAAGTTTGAATCACAGAACTACTCTTCTCTGGATGTCAATTACATTTTGTTAAGACTCTTTACATGCATGATACCAGTATACACTACCCATATGACCTTCCAGAGTTTAAGAAGCTGTTTTGAATGTAATTCTTGTCCTTCTTATCTCTCCCTAAACCTTCTTTTCTTACCTCTGTCCCACCCACTTCTTCACATCTAACAAAAATAATATATTTTATTCTTGATGATAATAATAATAATAATAATAATATTTATTCAGATAAAAGTACATGCATACAAAATGAGTTACAAACAGATTATTGGATTTCTAGATACAGCTAGTACCATACATACTATGCCTAAAGCCACTAGTATACTCAGCGTTTCGGGCAAAGGAATTCTTTAACTATTTTATTCTGAATTTTATTAATGCGTTTACTTAATACATTTTCCTCACTGGCATTGTAGTCCATATTTTGGTTGCATTAATTTCGAAATTTTTAATTTAGTGCTGACCTGCCAAGACAGTGGATAGTGCTTATTATTCAGATAATTCAGCCCATCCTCTTGAGTTGGCACAGTGGACAAAATAAGGGCTACTGAAAGGTTCAAATCTAACCTCCCAACCTAACATAACTGACCCAAGCATAGAAAACGTAATTGTTTGCGAGCTGCTACTTTTCATAGCGCCTCCTATTTTATTCGCTGGAGAATGTGACATCAAATTATGGTATATTATTTGAGAGAATAGGTTGGATAATTAGCTTGTAGTCCATCTGTCACAAACATACTTTTATTGGTTCAGAGTTTTAGTCTAATGGTGTCCAATTTAATCACTTGTCACACTTTTGAAACTTTTTTACATTTCTCAAATGTTTTTTTATGTAGAACTCCTACTATTGAATTTGTATTTTACATATTGAATTAAACTTAATTGTATTAATATATTTCACACATAATAACAAATGATGTCTTGAATCTTACTCAGCTTTGTATGTCCTATCATATTTTACATAAAGATCTGGTTGTCCTTTTCAGAACATTGCCCAATAAAACTATAATTTATTATGGAGTACATATATATTAGATTATTAGATTATTAAGAATTATTGCATAAATAATTTGAATGTTTTTGTCTTTTTCATTGGCCAGGTCGAGCAGCTGATGGGGGCATATGAGGAGAGGCTGAAGAAGGCAGTTAGAGCAAGGGGGCGCCGTCAAAGTGGGGCAAGTGGGTCAGTTGGAGAATTACCTGCTGGAGGTAAAGGTGGACGGTCAAGCCCTTCAACCCCTACTGGTCCACCTTCATCTCATCCCGATCCAACAAATGGGTAAATATCATAATATAGTGCTGTGCCTTTTTAAATGATGCATTTAATTATTCTGCCTCCAGTATACCTCATTGCCTCCACTACTAATCTGGCCTCTTGGTTGCCGGCTTCATCAGATAGGCTAGGCTTTTGATGCTGGCAGCTCACAGTCCAACATAGGCATTGCAGCCTGACAGATCGCGTATATTTTGTACGAGTCAACCACGTTTTATATTTGAGGACTTGATCTTTATGAAGTCATCTTTTTATTTTATTTTATTGCACTTTACCTCAGAAAGTTGATATCTGTATTTATTAGGCATTCCTGATAGTAACACATTATAGTAACTTAGGTACCTTACAATCATGCTGCAACCGACAATCATAAAGTATCCTAGAGCTAGAAACTTTCGCCTCTGACCAACTGATTCCATTTGACCGAAGGAGATGTAGATGAGCAGCTGCTGCAGTTCAGTACATCAGTGGTTTAAGGTGTGTGCTTAGGAATACCTATGGTGAATCCTCCACATTAAGACCAAAGCCTGGCCTTAGGCCTCGGACCAGGTTGCAAGAGTAGGATAACTCTCAAAATTGATCACAGGTAAACAGTAAACAATTGCAAATGGTGGTCAAAGAAAACTGCTTAGCCCTTTACCCAATGGAAATGACTGGTAATTTATGTTACACAGAGAGGTGGAACACTTATGACACAGACTAGGCCAACTCCATCACTAAATCTCTGCTTGTACAACCATATGCAAGGGACAAGGAACAGAGGAACATGCACCATAGCCTAGACATGTGTGCAGATGCCATGGAGCAGTTCATCCCACTCAAGAAGAATGCAAATGAGAAAAGCAGAGTAAACCCATTGTTCAATAGGCATGTCAGGAAACAGAGAGAAAAGACCAAAAGAGCACAGAAAAGTACAGAGAAATTGAGAGTTGACAATAGAGACACTAAAGAGAGCCAGAAATAAGAACACCTGAATTAGGAAGGAAGCTGAGAAAGAGTTTAAAAAAGGCAATGAAGCTAAAGCTTACAACCAACCAAGATTGTTTAATAACACTACAAAGAGTGTTCAATAAGAGACAATGCGATCATGTTGAGGAAGCAAAGGTAAAGTCTCACAGAAAATGATATGGATGAGTGTAAAGAACTCAATAAAAGATTTTACGAGATCTTCACAAAAGAACCAGTGTGGAGACCTAGGTTGCAAAATGATGTGGTGGCCAAAAGACACACCAAGTGACATAGTAGTCATTGTAGAAGGGCTAGAAAAAAAAAAACAGAGGCACTAGATGCAACAACAGCAATAGAGCCAGACTTAGTATAACTGTGGCTGCTGAAGTAGACAACCTCAGCACCTCAGTGCTTCGTTATGTCAACAAATATTTTCAATAAAAAACAACATTTAAAGAAAAAATATGACAAGTTGAATGTCAAAAGACATAGAAAGTGTTCCAGATATATAAGGGTAGAAGGCAGTACATAAAGAGTTAGATCTCACTCCTCTGTAGTTTCTGATGTAGGGAAGAGGTAAAAAGGCTTTTAGTGTACTTTGGAAGACACAGAGCAGTTTATCTGGATGGCATTTCTCCATGGGAGTAGCAGTGTACCAAGCTGTCTATTATAGCACATATTCATGGCATTTCTCCAGGAAGGCATGCTTGCATAGGGATGGAAGCAGGCTAACATTGTTCCCATTTATGAAAGGGGACATATGGACGACCCCGTAAACATAAAATGGCTACAGTATAATGGCTATCTGCAATTACCTCCTGTGCTCAAATAGACAAATGTGATATATTTTTACATTTTTTACATATTCTGTACATGGAAGATATTGGAAGGCCAGGTCACAAATTTGCACAGTAAAATAATAACATACTGGAGCAATTGATAATGAAGGAAATGCAGAATAGAAACAGTGAGAAGTAGAGGAGCCATATGCACAGAGAACGCTGTATGAGCATTAGAGGTCCGTGGCTATTCAATATTCTCCCAGCAAGCCTTAGTTGTGGATATGTGGACCTGCAGGTCAATCCAAGCAACAACATGTTGGACCAAGTTATCACAAGTCATGCACGGCCCCAAACCGGGTTTAGGGAGTAGAACTTGCAGAACCCTCTCCAGATAAGCATTTGTACTACAATATAGGACTTTTTAATTAACTGAGCCATTTAAGGGTTAAACTCGTTTACAAGCTGGCTTTCATAACCAGTATCTTGGTAAAATTGCTGGAAAAACTAGAGAGATTACAATGGATTGAAGCAAATAATTCTGTGAATGATATACAGCAGGCATGTTGATCTTCAAAATCTTCAATAGTTAGATTGTGTGGATTTTGAGGCATGAGATTATGTAAATTACCTATTTGTAATTACCTAAGTGTAGTAAAAGGATGAGAGCTATACTCGTGGTGTCCTGTCTTCCCAGCACTCTTTGTCATGTAGCACTTTCAAACTACTGATTGTTTTGGTCTCCACCTCCCTCTCACTTAACTTGTTCCAACCATTTACCACTCTGTTTTCGAAAGGGAATTTTCTTATATTTCTTCGACAGCTTTGTTTAGTTAGTTTAAATCTATAACCTCTTGTTCTTGAAGTTACAGGTCTCGGGAATTCTTCCCTATCAATTAGAATTTGAAGACCTGGAATTTCATGAACAAGAGGTCATAGATTTAAATTAACTAAACAAAGCTGCTGAAGAAATATAAGAAAATTCACTTTCGCAAACAGAGTGTTAGATAGTTGGAGCAAGTTAAGTGAGGTGCTGGAGGCTAAAACCGTCAGTAGTTTGAAAATTTTATATGACAAAGAGTGTTGGGAAGACGGGACACCATGAGCGTAGCTCTCGTCCTGTAACTACACTTTGGTAATTACACTTAAGTAATTACACCCAGATATGCATACACATGCCTCCTCCCTCCACAGACAGACAGACAGACACAAACATACAGATACAGACATACAGACAACCAGGCTGCTTGCCTGCCTGCTCTAGCTTAAACAGATTCATACTGACCCATATATTTTGAAATTTCTTGTTAATTTGTTCATAAAATAACAATTCAGTGTTTTGTAGCACAGTATGTAATGTAAGTGCACACAAATAAAATAATATATACAGGTGTTGCAAACCCATCAAAAGCAGAATTGTATAATGTGTATTGTGGTACATCTTGGAAGCCAGCTGTACTGTGACATACACATTCTTATGTGTACCAGAAGCCAGATGTACTGTGACATACACATTCTTGTGTGTACCAGAAGCCAGATGTACTGTGATATACACATTCTTATGTGTACCAGAAGCCAGATGTACTGTGACATACACATTCCTGTGTGTACCAGAAGCCAGATGTACTGTGACATACACATTCTTATGTGTACCAGAAGCCAGATGTACTCTGACATACACATTCTTGTGTGTACCGGAAGCCAGATGTACTCTGACATACACATTCTTGTGTGTACCAGAAGCCAGATGTACTCTGACATACACATTCTTGTGTGTACCAGAAGCCAGATGTACTGTGACATACACATTCTTGTGTGTACCAGAAGCCAGATGTACTGTGACATACACATTCTTGTGTGTACCAGAAGCCAGATGTACTGTGACATACACATTCTTGTGTGTACCGAAAGCCAGCTGTACTGTGACATACACATTCTTGTGTGTACCAGAAGCCAGCTGTACTGTGACATACACATTCTTGTGTGTACCGGAAGCCAGATGTACTGTGACATACACATTCTTGTGTGTACCGGAAGCCAGATGTACTGTATTATACTGTATTGTATCATAGTACTGTATATTTATCAGGCACAAGTTGTTGGATTATGATACATTCTCTTAATTACCATGTTTCTAGCTTTTGTTTTTTCTAGTAGTTGACAAGTATAATATTTGTACTTTATGTGAAGTATTTTATGTTTTGTTGTTAACTTTGGTGTAATTGCAAACTTTGTAAAAGTTAGTTACCATATTCAACACACAATTAGGACATACATGGATGTGAGAGAAAGCTTTTGGACATATTGCACTAGAATTTTGCAAGCTGAATAAATGATGCCAATGAGATTGCCGATCATTCACCTATGGAAGAGTACAGGAGAGAAGTAATACTTATTTGTACCTCTTCCCAATGAGTTTGTTTCTTTGGCCTCATTACTGTACCTCAAAAACCCACTCAAGCCCCATTAAGGGGCCTGAGTGAACAGCACTCGGGATTCGTAGTTTTGAGGTTCCGGGTTCGCTCCCCGGTGAAGGCAGAAACAAATGGGCAGATTCTTTCACCCTGTTCACCTAGCAGTAAATAGGTACCTGGGAGTTAGACAGCTACTACGGGCTGCTTCCTGGAGATGTGTAACAAAAAGGAGGCATGGTCAAGGACCGGGCCGCGGGGACGCTAAGCCCCAAAATCATCTCAAGATAACTAACCTCATTGTCGTTTGTAGTTGGCCTTGTTGGTGAAAGAAATTCCAAAGCACATAAATTCCCCTGTGCTTCCAAAGCGTGGCAAAGATAAGTGGTTCTTCCAAAACATTCATACCTCCTACTGTAAGCAAGTGATAGTACCATCACTTATGTGATTGCTAAACCAGGATTTTTAATTCTTAGGGAATGAGTGTTGTCTTTGTTAGATTTAAATGGTGTATAAAGATAGTACAGTGAACTGTTGAGCAATGATTTTATGTATGTAGTTCTCAGAGGGAATAAGGAGTTGGAGGTACAGTATAGATATTGTAGGTGTATTTATGTATGTTGGTTGCCATGGAACAGGGTAATGTGGTAGATGTGCCAAATTAAGGAGCAAAGTTCAATGCCTTGGTTGGGTAGAGTTCCAATGACAAGGGTTCATTCATGTAATTTTAAAACTCATGCACTTCAAATTTTTTATTAAATGGAAAGACGTTAAGAAGATGGTGTATATTCAGTGTGCTGTTTAACACATTCCATGACTTGAATGTCACTAGTGGAGGAGGAACACAAAATGCAGACTTGGTATTAGAATATTTAGTTATAGTCCTTTTATTTTTACAGATTAGATTATTCATCTAATTTTAATAATTTAATTGTTCTTACGTTTTATTAACGAGTTTAGGTGGATATAAATGGGAGCCGCCGTGTGTGGGCCAATAGGCCTTATACAGTTTCATTTTTTCTTATGCTCTTAATTTGAAACAGTATTCACAAGCTGTATATGATATTTGGTATGTGGTGTTTGCAGTGATGATGACTCCCAGTGTCCCATCTGCCTGATGTGTATGGTGGAGGGGGAGAGCCTGGTCGTGTGTGAGGCTGGGTGCCGTAACCTGCTGCATCACCACTGCATGGCTGTCTGGGCTGCTCACCGAAGTGCCCAGGGTCAGCCTCTCCTTTGCCCTCTCTGTAGGGCACCCTGGCCGCTCAAGCACCACCCACGCCTCACACCTACTCCAGGGAGCATATCTGTAACCCGCCCACACACTTCTACCTCGCCTCCAGCTGCCTGGCCGCAACCCCTGGCACCAGACTATGCCTACCCATTGATGAGTGCCAGTTTCTCAGGTTAGTATTTTCTGATTAATTTACCAAGAGTAAATATACTCCAATAGTAATTCAGTACATGTACTGAAATCTAAACTCTGTACGTATACTCAAACTGGAAATTGATTTCAAAATGTACATGCTTGTAGCTGTACAGTAAATGCATATTTGTGCTTTTTCAGGAGTTTGCATCAGTGATCGCCAGAGTCCAACCGGATCTGGATTAATGTCACGTTCCTTATCAGCTTACCCACATACCCAATCACCATACACAGACTCTGCGTACTCCTCACCTGCAGGAGGCTCAATCTACCCACCAACTGTTAGAGGTGAGAATGGCTTCACATGATGTTCTTCGTGTGATGTGAATCAATTTGCACTGTAATTTCATATAATTTATAAAAAATGTAAGTAAATATATTTTATCATGTAATTAAAACTCATTACTAATTATGTAATTAAAACTCAATACTAATGATTAAGATCTAAAGTAATTATTTTCCTCAACTACTTATCTCTTCAACTACAAAAACATTTTTTTTAATCATAAATTTATTCAGAATTTTCCCTTTTCATAAATGTTGCATTCTCTTGTGCAATAGGGGAGGTGTCAGCAGCCATTGTAGTGAGTGCCTCTGAGGAACCAGTGCCACTACCCAGAAGTGAGCCAATACCTGCAGAACACGAGTCTACGGCTGCTGGTTGGGTTCATGTCTTCGGCAAAGAACTTGTCTCGTGTCTTTTCTCACGTGATTGGGCAGTAAGAGAAACTGGTCTCAGGAGACTTGCGCACGAGGTAAACACCAGAATGAAATATGTTCCTGCTGTCTAGTATACCTTTCAGGATATACTAGACAGCAGGAACAAGGAACAAGGCTTTCCTTTACAAGGAAAGCTCCAGTTCTATTTGTATACAGCACTAGGATGCAACAGTGACATTGTTTTTGCAGTATTAAATATTATATTATCTCAGGATTTTTATCATTTCATGCCTTACAACATTTAATATTGATTGTAAAAGATGGGATAATTGATTCCCATCATATACTGTATAACTAACTAATGGAAGGCATATTAAAAGTAGATTCATTTAACTTGTTTTGAATTAAAAGTACAGTTGTACATTTATTTCTTTACAGGTACTTAAAGTGTTACTCTTGGACAGACTAATGACAGCTGATGAGAAAAGACGGCAAGTTATCCACTGTTGTGCTAATATTCTCGCCCAGGTGGCGAACGATCCTGTTTACAAAGTGTACCTGGCATGTTTGCGATGTTTGAGAGAGTTGTTATCCCACCTTAGTCCTTCATCTGCAAGTCAAGTGACGGCTCTACAAGAGTTATTCCGTCCACTTGTCCACACATTACTTCTGAAATGCGCAGATGGGAACAGACGTACATCACAGATCAGTGTGGATTGTATATTGGAGCTGTGTCGTGGTCAAGATGGTGAACTGGCATTAGCTACTCAGGTGTCAACTTCCACCCCTGGTCTTGGAGGCATTTCTTTTATTCTCTCTTGTATCTTGGAGGACACCCCACCTTCAGAAGCTCCATGGCAGTGGCTCCTTGGACGCCTTTGTGTTCTCGATCGCCTCGTTGATGAGTTCCCATCAGAATTCCAATTGCAGTATGTGCCACTTCAGCCTACAGAGTCTGGATATAAACTCCAAAACTATGATCGTTTAATGACTGTAGTGGAGTTTGCCTTTAAGGCTTTAGGAAGTAGCCATGCAACTGTTGGCAAGTTAGCACGCCGTGTATATATATGTGGAGCAAGGTTTGCTGCAGCTGAACCAGCAGTATTCCACCAAGTTTGTGACATGCTTTCAAAGCTAGATGTATCATTACAGATGCGTCTGAAACGTCGACTGCGTTCCATGCAAGGCCAACATAGTGATCGTAAAGCCACGCTTGCACGTTTAGAGGGAAAGTTAAGTACATGGGATCTTGGTGATACTGCTGGTCCACGACTTGTGCGCTCTGTTTCTCATTCACCATCAAGAATGTTATCGGCTTTAAGATCTTCCTCACAATCACCTGCACGTCAGCCTATAATCACAGCAACTCTTAAAAAAGACACAGAACGAACAAATAAGAGTGCTGCAGGACCTACGTCTTCCCCACCCAGGCCAACTAACCTGCCATTAGACTGTTTTGAAGCAAAATTTAGAGAAAAACAAGCAAAATTACGTCTTTATCACAAAACAAGGCCAAAAAATGATGTCCCTTTCATTGTACCAAATCTACTAGTATCACCTATACAACGGCATCACAGATGGAGTCCCATGAAAATGGGGGGTGTTCTCAGCAAAGGTGGACTTTCCCAAAGCCACGGTGATGCTCTAGATGTTTCTCCTCAGACACCTGTAGGATCTGTAGCACCACCACAGTTCTCCTTCAGAGATGTAGTGAGTTCTCCTGCTACACCCACTGTTCCACACTGCACACCGGTTAGAGAGATGACTCCACCACTTTCTGAGAGTAACTGTGATGCACAAAACACCCTAGACCCATGGTCGAGACACGAAGCTCCCCTACCAGTCATACCGGGACTTGACCTTCTTCCAGCCCACCTCGACGAAGTCTTACACCCTTATGAACAGGTTTGAGCATACACCTTCTATTTCATTTTCTTGTACTCATATTATTGATTGAATATTATGGTTGATATGTTCTATGAACAGTTATTTTAGTTTGCTGAGAATAGATGCATTTAATGTGTCTCTTGTGCAATATGAATAAACTTTAACTATAGTAGGATTATCTAGATATTTGTTTGGTTTTTGATGAACACGTTTATTATTTAATACTAAAGCAAATTTTTAAACACACAGTAGTATTTTACTAACTCTACGAAGTGCTTTCAGAATGTGGAGGGTGGACAGTATGAGGAGGGAAGGGACTGGGTGCGAGGACCATTGCTGGGCACAGGGGCATTCTCTTCATGTTATCAAGCTCGAGATGTGCGGACTGGCACGCTGATGGCTGTCAAGCAGGTCTCATTCTGTCGGAACAATGAGGAGGAGCAAGAGAGAGTGGAAGCATCGGCGGAAGAAGAAATCCTCATTATGTCTCGTTTGCGTCATACCAATATTGTGAGGCTTTTAGGTGCCTCCAGACATTCAACATCATTTTCCGTTTTCACTGAATGGATGGCCGGGGGGTCAGTAGCCACTATGCTGGACAAGTATGGCACTTTTTCAGAACATGTCATCTTGAAGTACACCAAACAAGTGCTGGCCGGATTGGCATACCTTCACGACAACAAAATCTTGCACCGTGACCTTAAAGGTAAATACTGTAATTGCAATCAGTTCTTAAAATAAAATTGAAATTTTATGAAGTAAAATATAATGAATAGGTACAACATCCACAGTAAAGGGTAAATCTTATAGCTTTGTCCTATGTGTATTCCTGGTAAATGGAATGCTAAATGGCTTGCATTATTTTTCATTAGGTATTTCCTGGTAGGCAATGGTGGATTGCCCTCACATTAAGTGCATTGTTATCATTTCTTGAAGATGTCGTTCTTTGCATAGAGCTTGTGGCTAATGCACAGGTGATTTGGCAGCCTCCTTTTTTTATTTCATCGTCCATCATTTTGTGAAAGCTTATTACAAACTGGAAATGATTGCAAATAACTGTGTACACAGCAAATCTGTCATTAGTACATTTTTAAGGCAGTCATTTATGTGCAAGTATGTGTACACACAATATTTCTGTACATTTGTGCACATGTGGATGTGGCTCCACATGTTATTTCTAACTCCTCACTATCCACATTTTTTCCTTCTTGCACAAGTTACAGCTGGCTACAACTAGTATAATTTACAGCTAATGTTGAATTTACCTGAATTTACCTGAGGGCCACTAATACTAGTAGCCTCGATGAAGACAGGAACCCGGCGGCTTGTCAAAGGTCCCCCCATTTGCCCTGATGATCTTTTCCAGCTGTATTTTAAAACCCAGCTTCGTCGGGTAGGCTGTTCCACGGGTTTACTTTACATCAACCCTATGCGTGAAAAAGCATCTCCTGTTTTCTGTCCTACATTGTGGCTTGTTGAGCTTGAAACCGTTGCTCCTCGTTCGTGTTACATCTAACCTTTTGAAGAAATTGTCTGGATTGACATTCTCCAAATTGTTCAGTATTTTGAGGTTTTATAGAGATAACTAAAGAGAGTTGAGAATAATTATAGATCCATAACCTTAAAGGTTATCCTTATGCATTATTTTATGTGTACATTTATTATATTGTAGCAATAATAGGCTGAGTATTCATTTTAGATCTATACCTGACATATTTAAGTACATATCATTTTATCCACAGCAGCCTTGGGGCCTAGGGCACATGCTTCCTATGCTCCCCTTAATCTGACAAGCTTTGAACTCCGGACTGAACTCCGGTATCTGTACACCCTTTTCTTATCATATTTTTGGGCATTGATATTTAACAGCAAAACACAAATCAAGTTCAGTTTTATGCATGAGAAAGGAAAGGAAGGGAAGGGAACTATAAGGAGAAAACACCATTTTCGAATTTTGCCTCTTTAATTAATGCAAGAATATTTATGTACTGTTTGCAATTAATGGACTTTTACTTTATTTATACAATTAAAATATACTTATAAAAAAAACTTCAACTTTCAGAAATCTACAAACCTATTTATGTTGACTTTCTAATGTAGAGGAGGATATACCAGATGCACTTAAATCAGCAGATATATCCCCTCTACACAAGGGAGGGAGCAAAGAATTGGCTAAGAATTATAGGCCAGTTGCACTAACATCCCACGTAATAAAAGTATTTGAGAGAGTGATCAGGAGTCAGATCTTCAGTTTCATGGAGAAATATTTAACATGGGATGTTAAATATTTTGTTATCTACTGTATTTCTCTTTATTTTTGGCACCTTGTTTTCCTGGGGTGCCAAAGATAAAGGACCTTCCAGTGTCCTTTTGAAATTAATTTCTCTTGGTAAGATCTTTGGTGAATCTGATACCTTTGGTATTTCTCATCTTATGTCATTTTTCCTCATAGTATTGGCATGCAGAGTGATAGTTAATACTTTTTGCATATCCCATGACATGTATGGTGCTAAATAGTCTTCCCAGTTTGGTGTCTATTATAGTTACTTATTTTCCTTATAACCAGTTTCTTTCCTCACCTAAATTTCTCTAGACATTTCAGATGCTTTTATATGATATAAACATTTTAAAGGACCACTCAAAATGTTTTAACAGAATTCTATATGATTGTTTGGCTATACATTAAGGTGGTTCAATGACCAATGTTTTCATGGCCCAGTCTCTGACTAGACCTCCTAGCTGGTGGTCTGGTCAACCAGGCTGCTTAATGGTGCTGGTTGTAGTCTAACATGTGAATCACAGCCCAGTTGATCAGATATCCTTTAGAATGAAAAGTCAAATGTGAGTGAGATAACCTCATCTGCTGCTTTCTGCATGTGGAGCCTGCCTCCTTTGACTCTTACACTACCCTGTCCGCATAAACAAAGCCAAAATACTTGTTAATCAAACTGCCAAACTTCTTGTTTATGAATGTAAAAGATTTACACATGGTAAATGTTTGCCGGTGGCTGAGCGGACAGAATGCTGGACGCGTGATCCTGTGGTCTTGGGTTCAATCCCGGGCGCCGGTGAGAAACGATGGGCAGAGTTTCTTTCACCCTGTTACCTAGCAGTAAATAGGTACCTGGGAGTTAGTCAGCTGTCACGGGCTGCTTCCTGGGGGAGGAGGCCTGGTCGAGGACCGGGCTGCAGGGACACTAAAGCCCCAAAATCACCTCAAGATAATGGCTCACAACTGATGACGTTTGGAGATGTCTTCAACAATGATGATGCCCTCTGTTTGAATTGCACCACTGTAAATACTTCACCCACGTATTTGAAATATAAATAATCACCAACCGATCCTAAACACCTAACCTAACCTACATTTTACTATACACAGAGATTTAATATATAATAATATTGGTACTGTATATAAATAAGAAACTTATTTAATACACTATGTTAAAATTGATGAATGCATCTTGGGGGATGAGAACAGCTTTAATTAATGAGTCTGGCCTGAAGATGGGTTGCTTATACAGTGTAAGAGATGCAGATACCACTTGATTTCATTTCCTCCAGGCAAATCTAGGCCATTACTGTTGATGAAAGTGGTTTACCAATTATATTATGTTGATTTAATATTGAGCATCTTATTCCTGCTGGGCAAGAAACATGAATATGTGGAATAAAGTAGAATTGCATCAGCAAGTGTATACATGTCAGAGAATAGAAGATAAGAAGTATAACAACACAGTTGAGGGAAATTGTGATGGTGAATCTGAGGGCACACTACCCCAGGGTAGTGATGTGGCTGCCACACAAAGGCTGGCCTTTGGCAAATGAGGTTACTAGTCGCCTTGATGTATTTTGTTATAATGTTTGAATAATTAATATGATGTACTTGATGTACTGTAATTCTAGACATTTTCTTCTTTCCATCCAGGTGCTAACCTATTGGTAGACAGTACCGGCCAGTGGTTAAGAATTGGAGACTTTGGGACAGCAGCTCGAATGGCAAGCAAGTCAACCGTTACAGGAGAATTTCAAGGGCAACTGCTTGGCACAATAGCCTTTATGGCTCCTGAGGTCTTGCGTGGAGAAGATTATGGTCGTTCCTGCGATGTTTGGAGTGTGGGCTGCTGTGTTATAGAGATGGCTACCACCAAGCCACCTTGGGGAGCTGATCATGTTTCCAATCAGTTGAAGCTCATGTACAAGGTAATTTTTTAAGGACTTTTTAAGACAAGGCTGTGTTATAGCATTTAAGAATATTTTACCCCACCACAAGACCACGAGTACAGTGTTTCTCGTGAATTGTCATATATAATACAGATACATTTATTCACTCCCTTCTTACAATCCACTTCCAGCCATCCTTGTCGCTTACAATTTGTTCACACTCAATCCCCATTTCTACATACAGTAGAGAGAAATGGTCAGCAGGCTCCCACAGGTTGTGGCACTTGGGTCACTGATTTACGTAGTTATGTAAATAGCCTGATGGAAAGTTCATGAAAGTGTTTAAAGGTGATGTTAAGCAAAGTTAATAAGAAGGGGTAATTAATGACTGACCTATGAGGGTTGCATGGTACCACAGGAGGACATACACAGGCTGCTGGTATGAAAATAAGAACCTCACAGGTATCTCACAGGCATAAGAAGATAAGAATAAAGCAAACTGCAGAAACTTATTGGCCAATATGAGGCCAATTTATTTGCCTAAACTCACTCATATACCTGTATACTGGTATATGTCCGACCTCTACGCTTGAAATAATTGAGCGATCCCTCTTTTGTTGTGTTACATAATGCAGGTTTCAAAACCCCTAAGATTACAATGTTTCAACTTTTAATTCTAGATTGCTACAAGCAACGGACCCCCCACAGTACCTGAAACACTCTCAGCCAGTACGCGGGACTTGGCTCTCCGCTGTCTAGAGATCAAGAGTGAAAACAGACCACCAGCCAAGGAACTAATACAACATCCATGTTTCAAGACACAACCACCATGACCCCATCCTCCCACAAAATTATCTACTGCTAATTAAAGGAAAAATTAAATTCACAATTCATATTGAAAATTAGAGGTCGTGATATACAGTATTTAAATTTTATTATGATTAAATTTTGAATTTAACTACTATTTAGTAAATTTTATATTTTTTAATTTGACAAATTGTTTAGGGTATTTTAGTTAGTCATATACAGTATGATAATTATATAATTATCATACTGTATATGATATGATTTCATAGATTTTTCTTTCCATGAATAAAATTTGTGGTGTTAGCAGGCCACATGAATATTATTTTGGTGGAATATACAAAGCCTTAAATTGGCAATGCCAAATCATTGTTGTTCCATTTCAATATTTACCTCTGAATGTCTTGAAAATCTGATAGTACAAATTTTCACTGTTACTTTCCATTTCTTTTAATTCATTATTAATCAGTAAAGCTCTTCTCCTGATGAAATTGGTTAAATGTGAGCAGGCAGAGCATATAGAGCTTGGTAAGGGACGTCTAGCTCTATAGTGTATATATTAACAGTATACACGTAGCTTAGTGTAGGTCATAGGCGGCCTCCTTCAAGAACACCCATCAGACTAAGGAAACATTAACTTCATGGACATCACGACTCTTTGATTTGCCCAAGTACAAGTCTGAATTTGGGAGCACCATTGTCAATAAAAATTTAAATTTGGGAGCACCAATGTTAGACTCCCAAATAGGCATTCAAAGTCTAGATGCTCCTTTGGCATTGATGGCCTCATGGTATGTGGGTGTTAGGAGGGGCAGTGTCCCCGTGAAGGTGGAGTCGGGCCTGTCTGTCCCCCAAAACTGGTCAGCAGGACCAAGTAATAAATTACAATAAAACCAATATGAAAGAACAATTTGTATTTTTTAAACATGAGATTTCTTTTTTTTATGATTTGCCAAAATAATTTAAGGTGTTATTTCTCATGTGAACTGAAATAATTAGATTTCTTGCTCCTGTCAGACCAGTATTGATGGACTTGCAAAGTTGCTCCACAGATTTCTTTATTTTTCCTGTGGGTAATCTCAACAGCCTCTACAGTGGCATGGTGCTGTCATTTTACCTCACAAACTTCATCTAATTCTGTTCTTTTAGAGTAACTTGCATGCAACTGGTGAGCAGCAGATGATGTTAGTAATGCTCACAGGTGTGCCAGCTCTGTGTTTGGGAACTGGCTGATTTGTGCAATTTTTCAGCAGTAATCTGTCTCCCATCAGTTCGGCCAGAGTTGCTTGTGTGGGTGAAATAACTAGCTGTTAACTCCGACTTTTGCCATCATTCTGTGAAATTCCATTGCATTTGTAACACTTTACAAAGTGACTACAGATCTCAGTGTAATTTAGGGGACCAAGTAGTCTTTACTATTTATGTATTTTATTTAAATTATTTGTATTGTGTCTCCCTTTACTTGTTACGTATATTAGTTTCTCTGTCCCCAGTTTCTCATACTTTTTGAATTTCTAAAATATTCATGTACACCATATTGTGGTGAATAATGATAGTAGTAGTACTGTAATTTACTACTACTGTAAATATTTGTGTTCGACAAGTCTTCCTTAGCTGGGTCATGAATTATCTGCATGGGAAGACTATCTTATCAAACACAATCAACAAAAGAACAAAAAATGTTCCAAAAATAATTTAGTTATTGGTGTGAAACACTGAACTAAAGGAATAGCTGCCGAGCATGGTTAATGAAATGTTGCAATGCAAAGAATCCAGCCATATTTAATGTTTAGTCACAATTTTTTAATGGTGCTGGAAGTTAAAACTAAATTCTGTAGTTTTACAGATTTGAAAAACCAATGTCCTAGCTGTAGGAAGAATGTTCTTGACACTTTAATTTATTTATTTATATTTGTTAATCTGGTAAGCCCACAGAACTGTTACATAACTCTGACCTGTGTTTGTTCTTCTAGTGTTAAGGGTCAACTGCGGACAAGCACCTGACAATTTACCAGTGGGGAGTTTGGGGCTTAAACAATGTTGAAATTGGTTTAACTGGCAGTTGTTGAAAAACCACCCCACATAGTACAAAATGTTTCATTGTTAAGATATATTAACCTCCCCATGACTGAGCCTGCGCTTCCATGGATGTTTTACAAAGTTCGGGTGTATGTCCTCTTTGACACTTTTGAAATTACGGTATGTCAAAAAGAAAAAAAAAAGAAAATGTACTTATTGTGAACTGGGGAATAATTGTTAATTATGGGCTACTCCCAAATAATTAAAATGTTAAGAGGATTAAGAGACATCCATTGCAGAATTGTCAAAAACCAACCCACTGAAAAGTGCCTTAATTTTTTTTTTATCCAAATTTATCAGGAAGGGATTCTTGAGTGAAGCATAATACAGAAACAATGCAAATTACAGTACTCTAAAATAGTAAATAAATTGAAAAATTATATTATGACCTAAATTAAATTGCTGAGAATCCCTTCATCAATCAAGTGGCCAATTCAATTTGGAAACGTGTAAAAAAAAATAATTGTTTTAAGTGTGTGGGATATGTGGTGGAGATCACTATTTCTGGCGGACAATTCTGTTCTTTATATATATGTCAAGCTTTAATCACACTTGTGCCTCATACTATTTGAACTAACTTCACATTTGTTCTAGAGTACAAGATTACTTTCTGTATCTCCACCCATCCCAGGTGCCAAAATGTACAGAGCACAACCCTAGTTTAAGCTATTTTTCTACTGTTCACTGTTTGCATTTCTCAAATGAAACTTTTTGTGAATGTCTGGGACCAAGTTTCAGAAAACCTTACTGTTTATTAGGTTTTTTGTAGTTGATTTTTTGGTAGATTATAATACAAATTTGCAAGAAAAAGGTATTTATATTTCCTTGCATAACCCTTCTGTGGCATAATTGTCATGGCAATTTGAAAACATAAAAGCAATGCAGGAAAAAATAAGCAAGAAATTCTAGATCCTATATTGTTTACCATTGTACTCCCCGGGGTTGAGCTTCAGCTCTTTGGTCCCACCTCTCAACTGTCAATAAACTGGTGTACAGATTCCTGAAGTGTGATTGTGTGCCACAGAGTGCACTAAATACACTTCCAGGCTGGGGATATTTTTATAGTTACTTTTAGTTGCTTCAGTTAGATTGTGGGGAAATATATCCCTCAACAGAGGGATATGTGTCCTGGAAAAAAAAATATTCACATTCACCAGACCTTAATAAAATGGCAAAAACTAAAAAAAGTTAAGAATCGTACCTCAAAATAAATTCAGAGCTAAAGTTAAAGTGATCAAGTTAGGAGAGGACAAAGCCCTCTACTCAGTAAGTCAAGCATAAAAGAAAGCACAAAACCAAAAGGGACAATTTACAGAATTACAGTACAGAATGCAGAACCAATCTCTCACCCCCATAGGAAAAATATGAAGTTTAAATTGTTACAAAAATGCCAGAAGCCAAGTAAATAAATTTCAGATATTGCCTACATATATAGAGATTAAGAATCCCAACAATGATCATCGAAACATGGCAATGAGAAGATTACTGTCGTTGAAAGGGGTCTTTTATCTTTCAGAGTACTACCCACCTGTCAGAAAGGACACCAAGAAGAGCAGAAAGTGTTAACACTATACATAAAAAGAGGACTTCACTGCAGCTAGAAATGAGGAATTAAACAACATGGCATGCTTAGAATCTGCAATGTAATAGCTCAAAACGATAGTAAACTGATAGTGGGAGTATGCTGCAGAGCAGACACGGCACTGGCACAGTAAAGTACAGACCTGAAGAATGTGATAAGGAAGCAGCTAAGACCAAGCACATAATAGGATATTTTCACCATGATATAATAAATTTGGTGACAATGTCACAAATGGAAGAATTTTGAACTGAATTGTTGCCACTGGATGGCAATCTCTTGACCTGGTGTGGAACTCCTTTCTCATACAACATATGACAAGAGCCCATCCAAGTAAACTGCATCTTGTGCTAGTATCCGAGAGGAGGATCCATCAAATTGAGGTAGGATTTGTGCGTCCATTGATGACCTCTTCATGTGACCATTGTATCTTGGGATGAAATATAATTATAGAAACTCACAAAGGTCAAGGATGAGGTTTCTTTGACTACTTTCAAGGAGACTACCAAAGAATGAAGGATGACTTGCAAAGTATCTCCTGGAGGAATTTAATAGGAGATAGACACTGAAGCATCATGAGAAAACTTCACAAAGGGCATTACTGAAACTGTAGAAAAATGTTTACCAAAAAGAAACAAAATGAAATAAATGGATGACAAAAGAATAAAATGAGCTGGAACAACTAAGTTTAGTCTGTGGAGGAGATATCAGTCCACGCAGAATCACAAATGAGATATATAACAGACATTAAATTCAGCCACCCAAGACATCACATTTACTAAAAGAAGCTATGAAAGAAAGCTGGCTCAAAATATAAAAAAAAAGATTTGAAGTCCTCTTATGCTTATACAAGGAGTAAAAGCAGGACAGACTCAGTAGGACCCTTTAAAGACAAAATCAACCAAATTCTAACTGATGATAAAAATGCAGCCAACATTGAATATATGCTTTACAGCAGTGTTAACATTAGAAAGATTAGACAACATCCCAACATCCACACAAATGTATGGTTGATGGGATGTTGTTTAATTTTAACAAATTAATTTTTTTTAGCAAATGTGATGTCTTGGGTGGTCGATGGGGCCTCACGGCTAAGTGGACAACGCTTGGAGGTCGTAGTCCTATGGGCCCAGATTTGAATCCTGGCCAAGGCAGAAACAAATGGGCAGTTTCTTTCATCCTGATGCATTTGTTCACCTAGCAGTAAATAGGTCCCTGCATCCTGGGATGCAGGAAACCGCCTGCATCCCAGGCTGCTTCCTGGGGATGTGTGTGTGTTAAAGAGAAATATATGAAGTACATATAATAAAGTAAAAATAGATTGGTTAGAAAGGCGGTCCAAGAGCTAATAGCTCGATTCTGCAGACACAAATAGTAAATATAAGTGTTTGAAGTGGGAGAAGAGAATGAGTAAACGGATATCACCACTACATGTAAAATAATCAGGAAAAGCATTGATAAATTAAAGGAATCAAAACCTCTAAGTGTGGATACAATTCAATCCAAAATCATACAGAAGTTTTCCTGTATGTAGACAGTGGTCTGACAAGCTATGTGTACCAATAAAACTGCTACTCAACAAGTATCTAGATCAAGGGAAAAGTCTCCAAGATTGGAAACATGCAAATGACATCCCATCTTAAAGACAGGCTGAAAAAGTTCAGCAAAAGACTAGCAACCAATCAGCCTAACCTCATATGTCTACAAGCTCATGGAGAGAATCCTAAGGGAGGAAATCATTCACCATCTCACACTGCATAACCTTGTGAAATCAACACAGTTTTGTAAAATAAAATTAATTCTGCCTAATGAACCTGTTCACATTTTATAAAGTGTAACCAGCTACTTACACAAATGAATTCCACTAGAAGTAGTGTACAATACAAGAACTTCTCTACAGCTTTTGATATTGTACCACATGACTCACAGAAATTGCAAGCACATGCAATAAATAACACAATACTGTACTAAAATGGATAAAACAATGGTTAAAACAGAAAGCAAAAGCTCATCCTATGTGCAAATAAATCTGATTGGAAAATCTTGAGGCCAACCTTGTTTGTTACCTACACTTATGATACTGTCGGTTCTCTAATGTACTATCTCCTGACTTAATTATTTCATATCTACTACATATGTTACTCTCTTGCGCACACATACAACTATGGGTCCCCATGGCCAAGCGGACAGCGTTCGGAAGTCAGTCCTTGAACCTGGATTCGATTTCCAGTCGAAGCAGAAATAAATGGGCAAAGTTTCTTTCGCCTAATACCTTTGTGCACCTAACAGTAAATAGGTACCAGGGAGTTAAGACATCCTGGGAAAGTGTACGTATGTGTAATGAATCCAAGCCTCTTAAGATAGGAAGAATAACCAGAATTACGAATGATTTAATATACTTGTTAATGGTTCTACCATCATTGAACACTTAAGAAGCTTGTGCCTTCCCACTAACAACAGGAAGATGGAGGAGCAACCAAGATATAATGCCCATTGCTGGCAAGACTGCCATCACGTGAACGCCAACAGCCAGTTAAACTCATCATTTAATTGGTAAAGTCACTAATTAGTGATCAGTTGCTAATCACTAATCACTTAAATTAAATAAAGTCACTTAAATCACTAATTAGTAAAGCTTAAAAGCGACTCAAACACTACAGCTATGAAAGATATTAAAAATTAATGCAACGTCGAACGCTTACAATACTGTAAACAAGACGAGACACGCGGGACGAACCAGAAGCAGCAAGTGTGGTGTGACAACTGTGCAGCAGCAGCAGCAGTAGCAGTGGTAGCGGTAGCAGGCGAGGCTGTACATGAGGCTGCAGGAGTGGCAGCAGGTCAATGAGAGCTTGATAGTGACCATCCATACCAGCAGCATCCTGACCAACAAGGTAATAATGAGATGCTGTAACAACACCCAAGATATTGAAATATATGATAAAGGGAAACACAATATATATATATATATATATATATATATATATATATATATATATATATATCATGGAAATGAAGGGAATTTACGTATATTATTAAGTGAGGGAAATTATTGACAATGCCATCACAGCAAGGTCAAATATAATAAAAAAAACGCTATACACAATGAAATGGGTCAAATATAAATATATCATACATAAGTAGAAATAATACAAGTTTATTATTGACAGGTATTTACATTTACTGTGTAGGAAACATGAGAAGTAAATCACAATAGGGAACTAAGTATCACTTACTTATGATTTATGGCAATACAGAAAATACTTCAAGCTCTCTTCTACCACAGTATATACACCACCAGTCTCCTTGCTCCATAAGAGCGAAGACGTGAACACCATGGAGGCTGCTCCCCTTCTGAGCTGCAAGCCGGAAGGGAAGCACACAGCCTCCGTCATGTCTAGGAGCTCTCTGAGATGGGAAGGGAATGAAGCTAGTCTGTTTTTTGTTTAGGTAATATATTATGCACCTGTACCCATCCTGCAGGTGGTGGTGGAAAAGGATATAGAGGTACATGATGGGCTCAGGAACTGTACCCCCAAAATTCATCTGGCGAGGCTAGAGGAGATTGGTCAGTGTTGTATTAGGCTATCATGAACGCAGCTCTTCACACACTCGCTCTCTCGCATATACAACTCAAAAGATGATTATATTAAATAGTAATACACAATGCTAATTAGTAAAACAGAATTATTATATGTAAAATATCAGTCATTAGAATGCTTGTGTGGCGGTGGTTGAGTGAGGCTGTGATGTTGGTAGTTAACTCGTGAGATTATAGTGGTTGATCGAGAAGTAGAGATGGTGGTAGTAGTTGTGGTGACAATAGTACCTGTAATGGTGATGGTAGTTATGGTCGTATACATGGTAGCCGAGTGGTAGTGGAAAAGTGGTATACCCATATTTCATTCACGTAAATATTTCGTTTTGAAACTCCCAGGGATAATAAAAAGTAACACAGGGATAAAAAAACATAAAGAGTATAATAAAACATTTAAGAAAACTTACAAATATATAGCATTAGCGGCAGGAAGCAGCAATGACGTCATGACGCCTATGTATGCCGGTGTTCTACACTAACTGTGTTGTTTATTAGGGTGAAAAAATATATATCTCTCCCTTATCGTTTACCCAGCCACTTGGAGTGGATGGTAGAGCGACGGTCTCGCTTCATGCAGGTCGGCGTTCAATCCCCGACCGTCCAAGTGGTTGGGCACCATTCCTTCCCCCTTTC